TTTAAAAGGGGGCTGGACACAAATAGACACGGAAATGCTATCCGACGATGGGCACGTCAAGATATTCATCCGCATCGACGCCCGCCGTGTACCCGGGCCCCGTGGGCGCGCTCTCTCGTTTAGTGCCGCGCTGTGAACAATTAGGTACGCCCGCCACTCTGCACGCCCACCGCCCTCTATTCCTTTCATCCGCCGGCCCGCATCAAAACTACAACCCGATTCCGGCGCGCAGCGGAACACCGGCCCGCGGCCAATGCTTCTTAAGGGTTAGGATAAATAAATTAAACAAGAATTAAAATTAAATGTACCTATCAGACAGAATCTATGCCAAGAACTAAAGGCACACCAAAACAGGTCAGTCTCCAAAACTTAAGGTAACAAAAACACAAGGCCAGTGTAGAGGGAGGGAACTCCCCGGATTGACACCTGTCCTTGTGCCCTGCCCTTGGTGGTTATAGCCTGGAACCGTCGCTAGCGGGGGGGCCAAGTCCCACTAGCAGCCTTGAGCTACCTCAACGCCTGAATCTGGACGCTTTTGCGGAGATGTGCAGAAATGGTGTTGAGTTTCCTGGACTGCACGTCTCACGTCCAGATTCAGTCGTTGAGCTAGCTCAACGCTGCTAGTGGGACTTGGCCCCGGGGTCCCACATCAGGATGAAGCGTTACCAGAGCATCCCAAGCAACTTCCCGATTGGGAGGTGCGGTGCCCATGGTTATGACGACCATTGGAGATGTAAAGAATTAATAATGCCACACGAATGAATGAAGGAAAAGGACGAGACAGACTATGACACACTTTTAATTTTTTTTTTCGCTAGGGGGAATTGTACTGAACGGGTTGATAGGAGCAGTTCCGTTTAGTAACCCAGAGTGAAAATGGTTCCAGTCTATTAGCGGGGAGCGGCACTCTCCTGTTTTTTTCCCCTTCCAATCAGTTAGAACTACTGTACATACAAGAAACTAGTACTTGATTTTCGATGTTTTGAACTCATGATCTGTTTGTTGACAGCAGGTGCGTGCGTCGACATTTCAGCCACAAGGTTGTTGGCTGCTATCCTAATTGTTTCTGTGCGAGCGAATGGAGGGCAGGCCGGCAATCTGCTAATGTCTCTCGGTTAGTACAAAAAGGGACGAATCCCGTCCTTATATTCTGACCATCCCTTACGATCGAGTCTGCTGCCGCGCGTCTTGAGTGTTGTGGAAATCGCTGTGCTCGTCAGGGGAGTGGCAACTGTTCCCGGCATGTCTCCAGAAAGGCGACCAGGGCATCTGTCACGAGAGGAGTTTCTGCAGCTATAGCCACTTTTCTTCCTTCTCCTGCACGGAACAAGGAGTCGAAGACGAAGACGAAGACGAAGATACATAAACTGACAGCGACGCACAAGAAGTCTCGATCCCGCTTCCGCTCAATGGCCGCAGTGGCAGTCGTGCTGTTGCTCATCATCCTTCAGCTAGCCGTCCATGGCTATGCTATATCTCCGCCTCCTGGCTCCGTGAGCATTAGCGACTTCTCTGCTGCAGGCGATGGATGTCCGAGCGACACTTATATTGGCCTCGTGTCAGATGACGCACATGCACTCACGGTCATGTTTAGCGACTTCACTGCTGTCACGGACCGCGCACTCGCTGGTCGGCGGAAGCGTTGCCACCTGAGTGTCCAGCTGAATTATCCTCAAGGCTTCACCTTCACTCTTGTGGGCATCACCGTGCGCGGGTATGCTAAGTTGGACGAGGGTGTCAAGGGAATCCTCCAGACGAGCTATTACATCAGCGGGCGGCCAGGGACGGGTATAGCTGTCGTCATTAAGGTCGGTCCATTTGATGGCAACTTTGAGGAGGGCATAGCTTTCATTTCCCCTGTCGTAAGCGTCTGCAACCAAGTCAGGAAACTAAACCTCAACACTGAATTCCGTGTGGATCCGGGGAACTTCACCCCCAAGAGAAACGGAATTATCACCCCGGATCCCGAGGATCTGAAACCCACGCTAATCTACGATGTCGCCTGGGAAGCGTGTTAACCGGGCCCAGGTAAGGGTTGGTCGCGCATCTGCCCTTTGGAAGGGGCACTGAGGGAGGGGAGAGGAGGGGACGGGAAGGGAGAGGTGGTTGTCGAGGGCTGGAGAAGGGTGGGGGGGAAATGCCGTAGCCAGCGGGGGAAGAACGCCCTAGCTAGCGGAGTAGGGAGTTGGAAATGGAACACCATAACGAGTCGGGGGCAGGCGTGAACGTGTTAGAGATCTAGAGATTTTGCGGACTCTCATGGAAGGCAAACTGGTCGTACGGAGTCCTAAAAGACGGCCAGGAGGACTCGTGGCGTCAAACTGAATAGGGGTTCAGTTAGCGTAGCTGCGGCCTGCGGAAACCGGTATGTGCTGAAGTCGTGCTCATGCTAACTACCGCGCTTAGAACCGATCAAGCAGTCAATGACAGGTAGTAGTTAATTAGCCCCCAGGTGCCGCAGCAAGTTGCGGGCTATCCGCATATAATATTATGGGCAAGTTGTTGTTCTCAATGTTAATTTCCGTCAGCACCCCACTTCGCAATCAAAAACTCGTAATGGATGACGTCGTAAGCTGTTGTACGTGATCCCTGTTACCCTAGCAGAAGGGGGTATGAGATCAAGTGAGCTCTGGTACGAGGACTGAAAGCCTGGACTGACGCCCCATCTGTTGGAAGGGGGAATTTAGGATAGTAGGCAGTTTAGTTTCGCCCCCCCCCCCTCTTATATTTTCTAAAGCTTGTGGAATGTTCTAAATTAGGCTAATTAGATTTTCTAGAAGTTCCTAGTCTCATTTTCATGAAATTTTCTGATGAGTTTTCTGAACGTACTCGTTATGGGACGCTGGGCCCGGTTCCCAGCTTGTGCCAATTTGTGAAGATATGGTTGTATCTATGGGACGCTGGACCCGGTTTCCAGCAGGTGCTGCTCCCCACCAATAGATGGAGCACGAGTTGCTTAAAAAAAAAAAAAAAAAAAAAAAAGCTGTTGTACGTGATATCCTCAGTCCAGAGATCACTGTCTGGTCACTGCGAGCTGTTTCGGTGTAGGCAACCCTCTTGACCCGAATAGAACGCCCGGCTATTGTTGCTGTATTCAGTGTAACTTCTGCCTAGATACGAGCCATAATGACCGGCCGTGGTGTTGAGGTGACGACGGTATGATCTGTCTGCTGTCTTCGTACTCCCCTTTTGCAGACTATGTGCAAACACTGCTGCACAATTCGAGCTGCCTGTCACTTGTTTTTTCCGTCTTCCTTTTTCTGTGAGAGGCGCCCTTATGATAATAGCTTCAACTTTGAAGAGCCTGCACTCTCCCACTCCACAATCGCATCCTCGACTGATCTGCATGTGATCGGGATCGGTATAGTCTATCCGGCAGTGCTCCAATCGTGCTTGTCTGCCCCTGTGAGAGGGAGGTTTTGCTGTGTCTTCTCTTTATTACCTTTTTCGTGCGTGCTTCGGAATATGTATTTTGTATTTTGGTGTATGGTAACCCTTCGCCACTTGCCTGCACGTTATGCTTGCATTTCGTTCTGGTATTGTATTTGCTCCTCTCTGCTGATTCGATGTGTTCGCTTTGGATTTGTAGTGGAGAATAACTTTTGGCGGATGAGCGCGCCCACACACAGAATTTTACCGAAGGTTGAAGAAACTTGGTGCCTTGATCTCCATCTTTTCGTCCTATGATTGCAAATTTGACCCTTCTTTTCCCTGAAAATGAGCTGAAGCCCACAAAAAAATCCCTTTTTGGAAAGGAGTCTCCAGCTGTGTGTTGGAGTAACTTGGAGCGTGTACTCCAAATAAGTTCCTGGTGGGCCCCTTTAGAAGAAACAAGTCCAGCCCTGTGATGACCACGAGGTCACATAATTTTGGCACCCCCTGTCCGTCAAAGTGTTATGTTTGTTTGTGAGTGTTATGTTCGTTTGTGTGTGACAGTGTGTGTGCGTGTGTGTGTGTGTGTGTGTGTGTGTGTGTGTGCATGCGAGCGTGTGTGTGTGTGTGTGTGTGTGTG